GAATTTTGTTTCTAGCCATCAACATTCCTCCTGCCTTAACAACCCTTCTCTCTCTCTGAGTCAATGATTTGTGTACTACTTCTGTTGTAGCTTGGTTCTTCATGATCAGTGTAAAATCTGCATCAAAGCTAAAGTATTCGTGTTCAATTGGACTTGATTTGGTGCAAAAACTAAACTACATCACAAGGGTACACAAGAGAGGGCCTTCTCTATGGCAGCTCCCAGGTTACGGTATGCTCTCCCTTGGGAGATCAGGCTGGCCCCCCTCCCTTTTTCCTTTCTGCCAGCAGCTGAAGACCTATATTTTTATGATTGAGTCCCTGAATGCCTTTTTAAAGTTAAGACAGTTTTAATGTTTACTTTCTTTTCATTATTCAACTTTTTATATATGTTTAAGTTATTATGTTTTTAATTTTATTCTTTTAATATTGTGATCCACCTTGGGATTCCTTATTGGGAGAAAAGTAACCTATATGTAAAACAAACGAACAAATAAATAGATGACCCAGTCATCACATATAATCGTTAGATTTGATCCAATTGTTAGTCAAAGCTACAGGAGACCTAGTGAATTAATGGGGACTAGAGATATTACAACTTCAGTGGACCTGGTCTGGTTGGGATTAGAAATTGGATTTAAGCCATACACTTTTCCTGTCCTCCTAGCTAAATCAACCAGCATAAAAGCATGAGTGAGAACACAACTATTTTGCAGGGGGAAAAACATCAGAAATAGTTCTCTAATTCATTACAAGTTGTACCCCAAAGGCTCTGAGGAGATGTTGGGGCACATCTTAGTTAATCAGGCACGTAACCTGGCATGCAACAAAGTTTCATCAGCTAGCCACAATTAGCTATGGCAAATTATGCAAACCTTGCATGCGTATACACACACACACACACAAAACCATGGGATAATGGCTGACATCTGTTTAAGGTAAAAATTTTTGAAATAATTATTAAAGAGAAAAGTCACATAGATGGAGTCAATAATTCATTATGGTTTCTAGATAGATCTTGTGTCACTAATCCTTTATACTTTCTCAGGAGTGCTAGCAAACAGATGGATAGGAATGAACCCATGGACTAAATTTAGTGTGACTTTTGGAAGGCTTTGCCAAAGTCACTTTGCAAAGGCTCCTGAACAAACATAGTAGTTGTGAGGCCCTCTAATGGATGTGTAAGTAGATGAACAAGAACCAAAGAGTAGGAATAAATGGACAGTTATCACAGGGAGGAATGTGAACAGTTGAGTCTGCCGAGGATCTGTCTTGCTTTGGGCCAGTACTTTTTCATGTATTCATATTAGTAAGTTATTTGGTGTTGAAGGTGAACAATGCATTGGCCAAGAAGTACCACAGCAATGACTTTTCAGCATATTTGAAACAAAGGAAGACAGCACTCTGAATGAAAGTCTTTGAAATGAAGAAACTGGCATTTAAATGACAAAAGCAGTTCAGTGTAAGCAAGTGTATAGTGATAGACATTAAGGCCATAAGTAGAAATCTCATATTCCTGCCTATTTTTTTTATTTATTTAATTTGAACATATAAATCTACCAACTACAAACAAATATACAATATAGGATAAAAAAATAGAAAAAGAGATGAGAAAAAAAGAAAAGAAATTTCTCCCTCCCCCTTTTGAGGACAGAGATTTAGACCTCATTAAGTCCCAAATTTCCCAAGTTTCCAGAGAGCATTGAAGGAAAGAAAAAAAAACACATAAGTCAATAAGTAGAAATATTCCTGCCTATTTTTTTTATTTATTTAATTTGAACATATAAATCTACCAACTACAAACAAATATACAATATAGGATAAAAAAATAGAAAAAGAGATGAGAAAAAAAGAAAAGAAATTTCTCCCTCCCCCTTTTGAGGACAGAGATTTAGACCTCATTAAGTCCCAAATTTCCCAAGTTTCCAGAGAGCATTGAAGGAAAGAAAAAAAAACACATAAGTCATATTGCCCTATCCTCAGATCTATCCCTGGGCCCAAACATATATTAAGTTCCAACTTTGTTTTGCATAGTCCCTTGGTTGTTCTCATAGTGCTTCTGAGAGTGTGTCTAGTTCTGTAATATCCAACAGCTTCTTCAGGAACTCCTCCATCGTAGGTATGTCTTCACTTTTCCATTTTTGGGCCCAGAGTAACCTAGCCGCTATAAATATATACATCAAACAGTATCTGATTTTCTTATCAGTAATTTCTGGCATAATATTTAGTAGTGCTATTTCAAGTTTGAAATTGAATTTCTGTTGAGTGACTCCTTTTATTATTTCCCACAGCTGTAACCAATAACCCTTGGCTTTTTCACATGTACACCACATATGATAATAAGTTCCTACTTTCTTTTTTTACATTTCCAATAAATATTGCTGCTACCCTCTGACATTTTTGCCAGCTTTACAGGGGTATAGTGCCATCTGTATCTTGCTGCCTATGCTGATAGGGTCTCAGCTGGTGGTGATAAAGCAAAAAAGCAAAGTGTGTGGCTTATATACCACTCTATAGTGCTTAAAACTCTCTCTGGGCAGTTAACTATTTAATTATGCAGGCTACATATTGGCCCACCCTCCCCCATGAACTGGGTACTCAATTTACTAATGATGGAAGGATGGACGTTTGAGACAACCTTAAGCCAGCTTCCTGAGCCTAGGATTAAAATTCAGTCATGAGCAGAGTCTTTATTGCAGTAGTGCTGCTTAATCACTATGCCACAAGAAAGGGTTCTGGTTTCAGCAAATAGCTCAATAGGAAATAGTGTATAGTGGTGCCTCGCTTGATGACGTTAATCCATTCCAGCGAAATCGTCGTCAAGCAAAATAAAAAAGCCCATTGAAATGCATTGAAAACCGTTCAATGCGTTCCAATGAGTGAAATACCTGCTCGTCCAGGGAAGATCCTCCATAGGGTGGACATTTTCTGCTAACTGTATAGCAAAAAATCCATCCTAAAAACAGCAGGGAGCCATTTTGCACAGCGGGCGGCGATTTTGGAAACCCAACAACCAGCTGTTTTGATCATTGTAAAGTGAAAAATCGGTTCCCAAAGCAGGGAACCGATCATCGTAAAGCGGTTTTCCCCATTAGAACATCGTTTTGGGATCACAAAAGCAATCGCAAAAACCTAATCGTCAAGCGGATTCATCATTTAACGAGGTAATCATTAAGCGAGGCACCACTGTATAGCCATTGTGAGAAGGCAAATTCCATGTTGGGATCAGAAAGGGATTGAAAGTAGAACCACTAACATAATATTTTTACACAAAGTTATGGTGTGACCATGCTTGGAATCCTGTATATATTTCTGGATACCACCCTTCAAAAAGGATATTATAGAATTGGAGAAATTGTAGGAAAAGGCCAGTAAAAATTGATCAATTTCTGTATTAGGAACCGTAACATTTGGGGGTTTTTGCTCAGAAAAGAACAGCAAGAAAAGAGGTATATGATAGGAAGTGTGTAAAGTTAAGCATGTTGCAGAGAAAGTGGATAGGAGGAACTGTTCACCCTCTCCCAGGATATTAGAGGACAGGGTCATTCCATGAAGCTGAACTGTGGGAGAGGCAGGTCAGAAAAAAGGAATGCTTCTTCATGCACAGCATGGTCAAGACATGGAATTCACTGCTGTAAGACATACCAGTGGCCATCTACCTTCCTGGGGAATTTTAGAAAGGGATTAGTCACCATTTATTTATTTACAATATTTTTTAAAAAAATGTTTTGTACTTGCTGATTTTCTGTCCACTCTTCCAGCAGCAGCAATGTACAATAGAACAGATAAAAACACTTTTGGAAAATAAGAAATAAAAAAAATTTAAGCCATTGAAAAATGAGTTTTAAAAAGCAGACCTCCCTCTGTTTACCCTTGACCCTCTTTGCCACAGAAGCCCACACACAAGAAGTACTTAAGTGTAAAGAGGGCAAAATCCCTAGCAATGAAGCAGAAGTGTTTATTCTTCTGACCTGGCTTTCCTGTGGCTGTATACGGGGGTAGTGGGCTAAATAAGCTTGTATTAATTTGCAGAGGGCAGAGGTGAGTCATGCGATGCAGGGTAATGCTGATCAGGACTGAGGCATGTTGGTTGCTTTGCAGAGGGAATGCAGGGGGTGACATGACCTTGTACCCTGGAAGGGATGGTTGTGGCAGAAGTCACTTTGCAAATATCTTACAGAAGCAGGTGTGGATAAGAAGGTTCTGCATCTTGTAAACTTTTGAGGCTGTCCTCTGACCCATTGACAGCTTCTTTGACGTTACAGTGAAATAAATGATTATTGATTTGCCTGTATGTACCGTATGTGTTTTCGTAAAAAGGGTGTTTTGCAGAGTCCATTTTAAGTAATGCGCGGTCATGTCTTAAAGCTGCCTTCTTTACCATTTCTTTGTGGTTGTATTCCAGATAAATATAGATAAAGAACTTAGCAGTCTGTATAAGAGAATGTTCGAACCACTCCATGTGCCTCCAGAGCTGTTCCAAAGACTGACAGGACAATTCTGCAACATTCAGATGCTAAAACCAGGTCAAGCATATGCTGCAGAGGACAAAACATCGGTGGATGATCGATTAAGTATTCTGCTAAAAGGAAAGTATGTGCTTGAAAGAGTTTGAAAAGGATTTCTTTTTACAGTTTAATTGTGAGGGGAATAATGAAAAGAATTCCAAAAATAGATTGTATTATAACGGTGGGATGGATCCAGAATCTGGCTTCATGGAGGAAAGCCCTTCTTTCTTGTGCAGATGTAGCCAACTGGAAGAATGCAGGTAGTGGCAATGTTGGTGGGCAGGGAAGGATACTGAGGCTGGAGAGGAAGCGGGTGTTGCCCAAGAGAACCTTTCCACCTGGAAAAGCATTCTGAACGGAGCTTTTGCTGGAGGCAAGGGATGTTCCTACTGATGGTCAAGGAAATGGACCCAAATCAACGTTACCTCCTCTCTTATGGTCATTCTAGCCTTGCCTTTTAGTTGGCCTACAATAACATCTACTAAAATCTTACTACAAGCAATGAGGTTTTAGGCAAACTTTGTTATTGATACATGATTTGTCAAATATGTAGCAATTATTGATCATTTCTGTGTGTACAGTTGTAATAGTTATAGATCTATATATCTGTATGTACAGTGGTGCCTCTCATAGCGAGGTTAATCCGTTCCGGATTACCCCTCGCTATGTGAAAACATCGCTAAATGGAACATAAAAACCCATTGGAACGCATTAAACATCGTTTAATGCGTTCCAGTGGGCCCTAAACTTACCGTTCAGCGAAGTTTCCTCCATAGCGGCAGCCATTTTCATGCCCTCGGTAAGCGAGGGGAGGGCGCGAAAACGCTGCACGTGGCCATTTCGGGCGTCCAGCGGCCATTTTAGAACCGCCAAACAGCTGATCCACGGGCATCGCAAAGCGAAGATCGGTAAGCGAAACGCCTACCGATCATCGCTATGCGAGTTTTGCTCATTGGAACGATCGGTATGCCTCCGCATTAGCGATCCCGAAAAGGGGATCGCTATGCGGATTCATCGTTGTATGTGTAAAGAAAGTGTTATTATTATTTAACCCAGGGTCAGATTGCATGCAGCATTGGATATATGTATTGATAATCTGATAAATACTTTCTGAATTTAAAGTGTCTGCTGTAAAAATATCTCTCTTTAACATAGCAAGAACCTTGTTTACTAATACAGTAATTGAATTTTATGCTACTTAACTCATTTGTTTCTTTATGCCTCATCTGCTTTTGCTCTGCCAACACTGTGTAGCACTCTTTCATGAAGTTCTTGGTTTCTTGCCTTTTCAGTTTGCTTATACAGAGACTGTACCATAATGTTTGGTTTAAACAAGCTCTAGAATCCTTCAGTTGTTACACCACATGCTTAATATAAAAGGATTAATTGCTGAACAGAAGCATAGCGAGTGTGTAGTGATATTTGGATTATTGTTTATATAAACAAGCCTTTGAAAACCTTAATTGAAGCTCAGTTGTTAATCCAGAGCAGACTCATCCTAGTTTCTTCCTGCCCATCATTTTCATCTGGAATAAATTTAATGCTGATGGAATTCTATCATTTCAGGAATTAATCAAGGTTTTTGGAGTGAAGAGTTTTGTATAAAATGAAATGTTAATACTAATAGGCTTTAGGATTTTGCAAGGACAGTACAAAATCAACAATTAGCTATGTAGAGAATATATTTAAAATCACATTCTGTTTGGTCTCAAACAATTGTTGTAAAGAAAGTGTTATTATTATTTAACAGGTCACCTTTGTTATTTCTGATCATTATTAATGTGCCCTCAGAATATAGCACTGTATTTAGTATTGATCTCATTTTACAAGTGAAAATTGGGCTGGTATTTGACCAGAGCCGCCCAGTAAAAAGTGGTTCACATAGTCTATGCATGCCTGGTTTCTCTTAGGTTTTTTCTGGCTGCTTGACAGGTAGGTGGAGTTTCCGGGAGTTTCAGAAAGAAAAAAACCCTGCAACTTTTGCAGGCTCTTCTAGATTGCACAATGCTGCTTCATGGCTTGTTTGCCATGATAATTCTGGCCTGTAACATAAATAAGATTGTTCCTGTCATGGTTAGGAAAGTGGGATTGTGGTTTGAGGGTCACCCAGGGGAGGAATTGGTCCTGAGGAGTAAGTAACATGCAAATCCTGGTTAATTTAGCAGTAATTCCTGTGGTTAGCAAATCACATTTGCATCATGTCTTGTGGAAAACAACTTTTATGCATATCAGAATTTGAACAGACAGTGGGACAGAGGGACAAATAATCATTTCTCATTTGAATTAATCCCAAATTATGTTTCCTGACAGATAGTTGTATTCTGCTTTAAATTAGCTTCTTATATCTCAGATATTTTGTGTGTGTTTCTAATTAGTGTTTTTGTCATCAGAATGAAGGTCTCCTATCGAGGGCATTTCCTGCATAATATTTACCCCTGTGCCTTTATAGATTCTCCTGAATATCGATCAACTCAGATGAATCGGGGTGAAAAGTTCCAGGTATGGAGTTTTTCTATTGCTTGTGAAAGTAATGAAGGTGGGAGATTCACCAATGAAGAAAGCACATTGTGTTTTAACATATAGTAAGTCACAATCTGCCTCATATAGCCTTTTAAAATCTTAATGTTGACACATACAATCGGAATCTTTCAGAAGCAAAATGTCAGTGTTGTGTTACTGACAGCTCTAGAATCAGAAAGTTTATACTGGTGAACTTGTTGTGTGTTAAAGATACAGGCTGAAAGCTAGTTCACAGAGCTGTAGCTCAGCAAACAGGATTTCAGCTGTAGCGTTCAGTTATAATACGAGAGAATATTTGTCTTATTTGTCAGTCAGAGCCATAGATCCAGAACCAGGAAAGCTAGACACCTTAAATTTAGCACACATACCAATACAGTGGTGCCTTGCTTAATGATGTTAATTTGTTTCAGCGAAATCGCTGTAGAGCGAAAACATAAAGTGAAATTTAAAAAATCCATTGAAACGCATTAAAACCCAGTTAATGTGTCCCAATGGGCTAAAAACTCACCGTCCAGCGAAGATCCTCCATACGGCTGCCATTTTCATTGCCTGTATAGTGAGGAATCCATCCCTAAGCACAGCGGGGAGCCATTTTCAGCACCCGGCGGCTATTTTGAAAAACCGACGATCAGCTGTTTTGATTGTCATAATGTGAACAATCGGTTCCTGAAGCAGGGAACTGATCTTCGCAGAGCAAAAAAAACCCATTTAGACTATCGTTTTGTGATTGCAATTGCGATTGCAAAAACATCGTCGTGAAGCGGACTCGTCGTAATGCGGGGTAATTGTTAAGCAGGGCATGACTGTAATAGCATACCTATGTGCACCTAGTAGACTTTTCTTAAATGCATTCATTAATTTTGTGGTTTTTTCCCCACATTTTTAGAGGTTGCAGCACGTCTTCAGTCTCTAAGTAACAGACTTCCCTAACTGGTGCATAACTTGACAGTCAATGCAATTTAGCACCAAAGGGAATAGTCCAAACAACAAAATTATGATGCTCCTTTTTTGTCCCCTGCTATGCGGCAACCCAACCCCACACCACCCTGGGAATAAAGTGGGAAGACCCCTTTTCTGCGGGTGATATAGGTTGTTCCATGGCAGAGATATCTGCTTAAAACAGGGAAGAGGAACCTGTGGTCTTCCATTCACTCTGGAAGTATAATTGTCAGGAGCCGATGACAGCTGTGATTCAGCACCATCTGCAGGATTAGAGGTTCCTCACCCTTGGAAATTGTAGTTACAGTGCAATTTCTCTCTTTTCCAAATTTTGAAATATTTTTGCCAATTGAGAAATTGTATTTGTACTAGTATTTTTTGTTGCTTTACTGCTGAAAGTTCCATTTGAAGATACAGTCTCACAGAGACTGTTCACCTTTGAACTCGTTCAAGGTGGTAAGGTAGTCAAGGAATACTTTACCACTTTGAACGAGTTCAAATCTCCAGGGTCAGATAAACCGTATCCGAGAGTACTGAAGGAACGGGCTGAAGAACTCTCAGAACCGCTATCGATTATTTTCTTGAAATCATGGGAAACGGGGGGGAGGTGCCAGAGGCTTGGAGGAGGGCCAATGTTGTCCCTATCTTCAAAAAGGGTAAAAAAGAAGAACCTGGGAACTGCAGGCCAGTCAGCCTGACACCAAACCCAGGCAAAATTCTGGAACAGCTCATAAGCATCTAGAAAACAATGCAGCAATAACTAGAAGCGAACACTGATTTGTCAAGAACAAATCTTGCCAAGCTAATTTGATCTCGTTTTTTGATCAGGTCACCTCCCAGATTGACAGAGATAATGCTGTAGATGTAGTATATCTTGACTTCAGCAAAGCTTTTGACAAAGTGTCCCATGATATCCTGATTAGCAAGCTAACTAGGTGTGGGCTGGATAGATCAAGTGTCAGGTGGATACACGATTGGCTACAGAATGGTACTCAGAGGGGGATGACTAATGGGTCCTTCTCTAACTGGGAGGAAGTAACAAGTGGGGTACCGCAAGGCTCAGTCCTGGGCCCGGTGCTCTTCAATATTTTTATTAATGACCTGGATCAGGGAATGCTTGTCAGATTTGCAGATGATACCAAATTGGGCGGAATAGCTAATAGAAGACAGAAACAAAATTCAAAATGACCTTGATAAGATGGAGCACTGGGCCAAAAGCAACAGAATGAATTCAACAGGACTAAGTGCAAAATACTGCACCTCAGAAAAAGAAACCAATTGCACAGTTATAAGATGGCTCAGCAAAACTAGCTCAGCAAAAGTACAAGCTAGAAGGATCTTGGAATTGTCGTAGATCACAAGCTAAATATGAGCCAAGAGTGTGATGTGGCTACAAAACAGGCAAATGCTATTTTAGGCTGCCTTAATAGAAGTATAGTTTCCAGATCTCACGAGGTGCTAGTCCCCCACTATTCAGCACTGGTTAGGCCTCACTTTGAGTACTGTGTCCGGTTCTGGACACCACACTTCAAGAAGGATGCTGACAAACTGGAACAAGTTCAGAGGAGGGCGACAAGGATGATCAGGGGGCTAGAAACCAAGCCTTATGAGGAAAGTCTGAAAGAACTGGGCGTGCTTAGCCTTAAGAAAAGAAGACTGAGGGGTGATAGGACTTTTCAAATATTTGAAAGGCTGTCATACAGAGGAGGGGCAAGATCTGTTGTCGAACATCCCAGAGTTCAAAACATGGAACAATGGGCTCAAGTTAAAGGAAGCCAGATTTCGGTTGAATATCAGGAAAAACTTTCTAACTGTTAGAGCAGTACAACAGTGGAACCAGTTACCTCAGGAGTTGGTGAGTGCTCCAACACTGGAGGCATTCAAGAAAAACTTAGATAATCACCTGGCACATATGCTTTGATTGTATTCCTGCACTGAGTAGAGGGTTGAACTTGATGGCCTTGTAGGCCCTTTCCATCATCACTTTTCTATGATTCTATGAGGATCATTTGAACTTACATTGTGCCTGGAAGATCCATCACTAGTTTCCACTTTCTTGAGAGGAGTATTAAACATTTGACAGCATGGACCGGGGTACAAAAGTTATTGATAGAGCTTTGATTTCAAAACTAGTATGCTACATTCTCTCTCCCTCTCTTTGCCCTTCTCCTTTTCTCTTGCACACACACAATATTTATTTTGAATTCTGGAAGAAGTGCTGATTTTTTGTTCCTTTTTCCTTATCTCTGCTCCCCCTGCCCCTGATAGAGAAACAGCCTGCAGTTAATATAAGGTTCATCAAAGGGTGGGAGGATAATTGGAAAAGAGTGAGGGAAGTAAATTTGGTTCATGACAAATGACAGGGCAAGAGCAGAAGGCAGCCATCCCATTCACATCTCTGGTCAACATGTTTGTTTGCTTTTATGCATTCTGGAAATCTACCAAATCATTTCAAGGAGAGTGGCCAAAAGGTACAGGTGTGCATATCCTAAAGGAACTGATGTATCTCAACAGCTCTATACTTGTAATTCAGCCATCTGGCAGATGATGGTTGGCCATCTCAGTTCTAAATGAGGTTTGGGGTCAAAGGCATTGCAACTGAATAGGAGAAAGAGAGGCTTAGTAGCTAGTGGCTTGAGAAGCTGGAAAATATAGTATAAATCAGTGTTCCCCAGCCCTGGATAACCCAGGTGTTCTTGGACTACAGTTCCCAGAAGCTTTCACTACCAGATGTGCTAGCTGGGGTTTCTGGAAATTGCAGTCCAAGAACACCTGGGTTACCCAAGGCTGGGAACCACAAGCATAAATGGAGAAGTCTGAAACCAAACTGTGGCAAAATGCTTACTATTTTTAGATCTTGTGTGCTTATTGTGAGATGTTACGTGAAAAGCAAATGATAATCAGGAAGTTTAATTGTGAGAGAGTCCAGGTCCCTCAAGTATATTTTGGAAGAGAAAGAATTGAATTTTGGATGTAAGTTTACATGAGCTGTCCAAATCACAGGCTGAAGTTTTCTAATAAATGTATTTTATAGTTGTTGTTTAGTTGTTTAGTCGTGTCCGACTCTTCGTGACCCCATGGACCAGAGCACGCCAGGCCCTCCTGCCTTCCATTGCCTCCTGGAATTGGGTCAATTTCATGTTGGTCGCTTCGATGACACTGTCCAACCGTCTCATCCTCTGTCGTCCCCTTCTCCTCTTGCCCTCATACTTTCCCAACATCAGGGCCTTTTCCAGGGAATCTTCTCATGAGATGGCCAAAGTATTGGAGCCTCAGCTTCAGAATCTGTCCTTCCAGTGAGCACTCAGGGTTGATTTCCTTCAAAATAGAGAGGTTTGTTCTCCTTGCAGTCCAGGGGACTCCTAAGAGTCTCCTCCAGCAAAAAGCATCAATTCTTCGGCTGTCTGCTTTCTTTACGGTCCAGCTCTCACTTCCATACATCACTACTGGAAATACCATAGCTTTGACTATTCGGACTTTTGTTGGCAAGGTGATGTCTTTGCTTTTTAAGATGTTGTCAAGGTTTGTCATCCCTTTCCTCCCAAGAAGCAGGCGTCTTTAAATTTCATGGCTGCTGTCACCATCTGCAGTGATCATGGAGCCCAAGAAAGTAAAATCTGTCACTGCCTCCATATCTTCCCCTTCTATTTGCCATGAGGTGTTGGGACCAGTATCCATCATCTTAGTTTTTTTGATGTTGAGCTTCAGACCATTTTTGGCGCTCTCCTCTTAACTTGAAAGATTATAGTTACATGTCTCTAAAACAGCTTCTTCTTGTTGTTCCTCTCCTACAAGTGCCTGGACATCATCATGCATGTAATGATTTTGGACATGATCTCTCAAAATAAGGGTGTTGCATTGTGTCCCGTCCAGTCTCCCAGTGTCTTCATTCAGTAGTTTCTTCCCATTGCACTTAGCCTTTTATAAAAATATATATATATATATTGAAGGACCAACTGTGGCAATCTGTGCTTTTCATTTCCTGTTATGTCACTGAAGAATTGTGTCTTCCTGCATTGTACGTGTTTAATATGCAGTAGATTCTTGATAGTAAAATAGAGTCAGGAGGCTGGAACAGAGTCTAAAAGTGGTGATTGATGCAGTATGTTCCAGTCAAGAACTAGGCCTACTGCCAAGGAAATGTTGTCAAGACATATTAATCTCGGCAGAAGGCGGCAGTGACAGCATTCTTACACTTCCTCTAACACTCTCCACTTTGGGCATTGATTGGCTCTACAGTGAAGAGGAATCATCAGTACTAACTAACTTGAAAGAATAATTCCTAGTATGCCTGTCCTGCCAGTCTGCTTATACTTTTGCAAGACCAATAATGGACAAAAAGAGAGTGATCTGGGGGTTTTGGATTTCTACTGAACAACAAAAAGATTGGTTCAGCTTACCAGTTATTTTTGCTTTTATTTATGTTGGGGAATAAAACACTTCATTTGATTAACTGCTAGACATTGATCTCAAGCTTGTGTTTCTAAATATACAAATGTATCCTGTATCATTGTGGAGATATGTGCACATTTTTATGGTGCATGGTATCCCCTAGCATGTTTATGTATTGCCTATATAGTCTCTTCCACTAATTTCTTTACAGCCATAATCCATCTTCTCTGAGACTCATAGATTGCTTCTCCCAAAAACTGTAGCAGTTTAATTTTTGTGTGGTATCCTGGTGCCACCTGCTGGATTGAAGGAAACATAACAGCCCTGGCCAAAAATATTGGCACCCTTGCAATGCTGTCAGAAAATGCAACCCTTCTCTCAGAAAATTGTTGCAGTTGCAAATGTTTTGGTACTCACATGTTCCTATCTTCAAACACAAAAAAAAAACAGAGAAGAGAAGTCAAATCTGATACAATTTCACACTGAAACCCAAAAATGCACTGGCCAAAATTATTGGCATCCTGTCTAAATTGTAAGAAATAATTGCTTTTCAAGCATGTAATGCTCCTTTAATTTGTATTTAGACACACCTGTGGCAAGTAAGAGATGTGGGCAATATAGTCCCACTTGCAACCAGTTAAGATGGAGAAAAGCTGACTCAACCTTTGTGTTGTGTGTGACACTGAGCATGGGGAAAAGAATGAAGTGTAAAGAGTTGTCTGCAGATTTGAGAGAAAAAATTGAGGAAAACAACACTCTCAAGGCTACAAATCCATCTCCAGAGTTCTTAATGTTCCTGTGTCCATTGTGCACAATACCATCAAGAGGTTTACACCCCATGGCACTGTAGCTAACCTCCCTCGATGTGGACATGGATGGAAGAGCAAAATTATTGAAAAATTACAAGGAAGGGTTGTTCAAAAGGTGGATACAGAACCCAGGTTAACTTCCTAACAAATTCAAGCTGATCTGCAGACACAGGGTACGACAGTGTCAGCTCACACTATCCGTCGCCATCTGAATGAAAAGAGACGCTATGGTAGGAGACCCAGGAGGACACCACTGCTGACACAAAGGCATAAAGAAGCAAGATTGGAGTATGCCAAAACGTATGTGATGAAACCACAATCCTTTTGGGAAAATGCACTGTGGACAGATGAGACAAAAGGAGAGCTTTTTGATAAAGGACGTCATGGCACCATTTACAGAAAAAGAAATGAGGCATTCAAAGAAAAGAACACAGTCCCTATAGTCAAACATGGTGGAGGTTCAAAGATGTTTTGGGGGTTGCTTTGCTGCTTTTGGCACTGGATGCCTTCACTGTGTGAACAGCATAATGAAATCTGGTGATTGCCAAAGAATTTTGGGGTGCAACATTGTGGCCAGTGTCAGAAAGCTGCGTCTCCCCCAAAGGTCATGGGTCTTCCAGCGGGACAATGACCGAAGCACACTTCAAAAAGGACTCAGAAATTGTTACAAACAAAGCACTGGAGAGTTCTGAAATGGCCAGCAGTGAGTCTAGATCTAAATAGAACACCTGCGGAGAGGTCTCAAAACAGCAGTTGGGAGAAGGCATCCTTCAAATCTGAAGGTCCTGGAGCACTTTGCAAAAGAAGAGTGGTCCAAAATTCCAGTAGAGAGGTGTAAGAAACTCATTCATGGTTACAGGAAGCAATTGATTTCAGTTATTTTTTTCAAAAGGGGGTGCTACCAAATATTAAGTTAAGGGTGCCAATAATTTTGGTGAGTGCATTTTGGGGTTTCTGTGTGGGAATTTATCAGATTTGACTTCTCTGTTTTTTGTGTTGTTCCAATGCAAACCAAAGAAATGAACATGCGAGTACCAAAACATCTGCAACTGCAACAATTTTCTGAGAGGAGGATTGCATTTTCTGACAGCATTGCAAGGGTGCCAATATTTTTGGCCATGACTGTAGGTAAAAGTAGTCCTTAGAATGGACCTGGTAGCGTGAGGTTGCAACTCTAAATGTATGTGCCTCAGTGGAATTGTTGCCATGTGTCTGAAACCATGCTGCCTCAGTTAAATGTTTTGTAATCTGGTGTGTTTGTGTGTGTACTCGTATAAGAGGAGAAGAAAGCTTCATTGCCCTTGATTTTTTATTTCATATTTTGTGTGTGATCATACAGTTGTCTCAGAGCCACTGGCCAGCACTTTATTTCATAGTTCCACAGCAGGAGTGCCTTCATCAGCAGTGGCAGATTGCCCCTAATTAAAGAAATCTTGCCTTGATTTTGATTTCCGTGCAACTTTGTCTCATAGCACAGATTCTGGCCATAGATTGAAATAAGGGTAGCTTTTTTCATGTGTGTTTATTTTGTCAGAATCCATCAGTTTGAAACACGTGATACCTTTCACTATGATGCAGGTGGATATTTTAAGCCCTTGCAATACGCTGAGAATAACCTCCATATTTGTATTTCTGTTGCTGTTTCCCAAAGATTTTGCTTAAGTTCCATTAAAGCCAATTAGAACATACATACAGTTGTTACAATTAAGAAAAGTGGTTTAAATCTGAATGTTTAATTATTTTCTATGAAAAATCTTTTTTAAAAAAACATGCCTCTCATCCTCCACAGGTAAAATTACTGAGTTTCTGGTTTTCTTTTTTAACTGATCTAGACAGGGCAGGGGAATCTATTTCCTTTCTGGTGGACCCAGTTTCCTCCCACTCTTGACACACTCTGATCTGTCTTCCCGTGAAAGATCTAAGAACACTGGTAACCCTGAATTGAGCAAAAGCTGTCTCCTTAGCTGATACCCACTTGTATTCTGTAGACTACGGAGTCTCTTCCATTTCAACTAGTAAGGATAATTACAATAAAGTTCAGGGCCTATATCCAGAGTGTTAAGCCCTATTTTTTTATTCAGGTTGTGGCTGAATAAATGTTCATAGCTTTCTTTAATTTGTTTCCCTATACTGTATAGCTTTGTTTGTTTTGTGTTTTTGTTTGTTTGTTTGTTTAGCTAAACTTTTCTTCCTTGCAACATTTTAGAAAACTTGGAAAAACCCACTGGCCTCAACTTAACTAAATATATTCTGCTTGTTAAGTTCTTTATAGGATAAAGTACTGTGGATACACTCATTCTTAGAGTGCGACCCCAAATTACTGAGTTGAAACAGTGCTGAATCCAGACTTCTCATCTGCTTGGGATGCTCCATAGGGATGCCATCACCTCAGCCTAACTTTGTGCTACCATTTTGGTTTGTCTCTGGGTTAAGGACAATTGGATCTGGGCAGCTGACTTGACTGTGAGAGAGGCCCGGAAGGCGAGAACTAGAAACCGGACTTTCTTGGCAGTGGCCCTTCGCCTCTGGAACACCTTGCCCCTTGAGATTTGCCTGGCACCCTCGCTGGGAGTTTTTAAGGACAAGCTGAAGTCTTGGTTCTTCAGGCAGGCCTTCCCTCCTTCCACCACTTAGTTTCCTGTGTTTTCCCATCATGAACTTAGCTTACTTTTCTTTTTCGTTTGTACATTGTCTGTTTTAATTCTTGTTTTATATTGCTCGGACTGTAAGCCATCCAGAGTAGATTCGTTTGAATCTAGATGCGCAGGGTAAAAGCCACATGAATGAATGAATGAATGAATGAATGAATGAATGAATGAATAATATAAAATAAATTTGGCAGACCATGGCTTCTCTCTCATCCTGCTCCTTTTTCAACCCTTTCCTGGGTTTTTCTGGTAGCAGATCATAGCCAGCATAGCAGTTCTGATAGCAGATTGCTATACAAATACTGTAGATCTCTTGAGTTGAGCAGACAAGGGAGACTTGTGCCTAATCTTCCATCTGGTGCATCACTGAGGTAGAATTGCACTGCTTGTATCTTTTTGGCAAACGTTCCAGCAAAATGATTAAGAGCATAAGAGCTAATGTTATGTTTGTGCTTTCTCCTTAGGTCTCTATTACTGCTGATGATAACTGCAAATTCTTGTGCTGGTCCAGAGAGAGACTTGCTTATTTTCTGGAATCAGAGCCATTTCTTTTTGAAATTTTTAAGTATCTTATTGGAAAGGATATTACAAACAAGTTGTACTCATTGAATGATCCCACTCTAAATGATAAGGTAAGCATACTTTCTACACTCTTGTATTTTATGTAACTATTCTGCAGCTTTGTTTTGTTATTCTCATGTTCTCACCTTCCCTTTCCATGTCCCTTTTTAAAGCTCACTTATTTTAGAACTTGCAACTGTCTTTTGTCTGTAGTACTAGTTAGTTTCAAATCTAATGATGCTGAATGCACTTGGAGGAGTGGCCCTCCAAGGGTGGATCAAAATCAATGATTTTTTAAAAATAAAATTGATTTAAATCGCAATCTTAAATTTTAAAATTGATTTTTTAAAATTTAAATTGCAAAAAAAATCAATTTTTGTATTTAAAAAGTGAAACTGTAATTTAAATCTATTTGCCTTTGAGAATACATGAAATCTGTTTAATTTAAATCATATCCACTCTAGGCCTCGCACATGTCTTTGGATTGCCACTTTCATAATCCTTCACTGTTGGGAATGCTGACTTGACCTATCAGGAGTACAGGCTGACAGCTTCCAGAGGGCCACTTTTAATCCTGCACATCCGCAGGAGAGAGCCATGGTTATCATGTCTTGCTTATGAACTGCTTTCAGGCATCCGGAGGGCCATTGTCAGTAGATGGAATGCCGCTTGGTGTAGTATTATTGTTATGCTCAGCATCTCATTGTATTATTCTATATTCTTATAAAGGTCTTCAGAGGTCTGCACTTGGTATAATTAGTAGCCTGTCATTTGGACTTCAAATCTCATCCCCCTCAGTCAGGTATTACCAATAGGTGGAGCTGATAGAAATTGTACTGTGAAACAACTCTAGCTCCAAAGGATGGGGAAAATAGGCCTGTAGCCTGTTTTTCCAAATGTCTGAGGAAATGTCTGAGCTTTTGTCACACTACATTTATTACTTAAGGATAGGTAGACATTGTTCAGTAATGCTAAGGGAAGAGGGAAGGCAGCAGGGAAAGAGGAAGAGCACATACGAGATCGATTGACTCCCAAAAGAAATCCACAGGCTTGAGTTTACAAGAGCTGAGCAGGACTGTTGAAGACAGGACATTTTGGAGACCGCTCATTCATAGGGCCGCCATAAATTGGAGACAACTTGATGGCACGTAACAACAATAACAATGACTTTGTTGGTTCTGTTTTATAGAAATTTTGTTTATTTTTTTAGTTGGAATTAATTCAGATTTGTGATCTGTATAAATTCTAGGTGGCATATCAGAGGGCTATGATGTCTTTACTTTATCACTACTAGGTCCCATAGAACTATAAGCATTGCTAAGCACCAGGCACATGCGGATCCAGGCCGTCATATGATTCTGGAGGAGTGTGAGAGTTTCTCCGATTCCCAGCTTTGGGGACTACAATTCGCATGACACCAAGTCCTTGGCTATCTTCAGTAATGTAGTGGGACTTGAAACAAGGCTTCCTTAGTCCAAATGACTTTGCGGATACAGCTGGTAAAACATAGTTCCCTGTCCAGAGTTGCACTGGCATGTAGGTATTTGTGCAGACCTTGACAAAGAACTAAGTTATGAATTAGTAACTGATTTAAATTACCTGTAGGTATGATCTTGGAATAGTCACTGGCTGAAACCTTATTGCTTAGTGTTGTAAGTTACACGAGAGTTGGCCCATTTGGTGGGTCAGCTCCTTCACATGGGCCTGCTCTCGTTGCAGCTTAAGAGTTTGCCCCTTTGAACCAAGGGGATCTGCAGAACAGTTGACTCACCAAATCCCCAGTGAGTCAATGGGCCTAGTTTTAGGCAGCTTACGATGTTAAGGAAAAGGATTGCAGCCATTGCCTCTCGGCCTCATCCACCTCACCAAACTCTTGTGAAGATAGGAAGTATAGGATACACATATCTATTAAATGTTGCTTTAACAACGGAGGGTTTAGAAAGATGTGTGTCTCCACAGGCATCTCAAAAAATTGATCGGCGGCCCAGTCTGTGTTCGCAGCTCTCTGTGATGCAAATGAGAAACAGCATGGCTAGTTCAAGTGATGGTGAAGAGGGCTTGCAACATTTCCTCCGTGGGACGTCCACTGCCTCCTCTCTCCGTGAGTCATTAATCAGCCACTCAACACTCCTAGACATTACTGAATGTCATAGTCAGTGGCAAAAATCATGTTCCTTTGGCCAGAAAGGACAGGAAAATCACCTGCATGTCTGTGACAAAATCCAGAGAAAGGAATGGTGTGTGCACGTGCATATATGGATGCAGCTGCTGTCTTCTAATGGTCAAATTCAGGAGGGTACAAAACGTGCAAGTGTACCCGTGTAGGTCAGTCATCACAGTCATGTTTATTATTCAATGACTGTGGCCAAGTAAATGTTTTTTTTTTTCACCTGTGAACAGGCCGCTGCTGATCAAACTCTTTAATACCATCTCTCCTTGTTCATTACTGCTCAATAGGGGGCATTTCTCAGACTCAGCTGTGAGTTATCACATGGTATGCTTATGCTTACATGTCTGTTTTTATTGAGAAGACTCTTGCTCTTTGCAGGAGCCAGTAAAAAATGCTGCTGGTTGAGAAAAACAGACATTGGTGTTTTTTTTTTTTTAATTTCAAAAGGAATTAAGGTTGTTTCTGTGTCATGAGAAAGCAATAGAAATTATAAGGAACTTGATCTGGTGGAGGAGTCTGTAGATCTGGCAGTCATACATGTGAATCTTTCCTGTGTATTTGTTGTTGTGTGAGTTGCTTCATGACAGGAACTCAGCAACGTGGAATATCTTGGAATGTCAAAGTTTGTGAAGCTTAAACTTCACGGAGGATATCATTTTATTGTAGACACTGGATTACATCTTATCAAACTAATAATAATAATAATAATTGTGTGCCCTCAAGTCAATTCTGACTTATGGCAACCCTTTTTAGAAGTTCCAAGTAGAGAGCATTCAGAAGTGGTTTACTATCCCCTTTTTCTGGGGGTGCCTGGGGACGGTGCAGCTTGCCCAAGGCCATACAGACTGCCTCTACTCACCGGAGGCACAGGAGGGAATCACCCAACCTCTGGCTCTGCAGCCAGATAGCTAAACCACTGAAACTAGTCAGCAATTAATTAATCTTTAAGTTCTACATCAGAGGATGCAGGCCTGCAGTTATTACATGTAATGCAATCATGTGAGTTTACTCAGAAGGTAGCTTCACTGGCCAGTATCAAAATTCTAGGCCCAAAGAGAGTATACCCACTGACTCGGTGGTATTTAGAGATGTGTAGAATCACCATACTGCAATTGATTCAATATGTCTGCTTGCTAGCAGAGGCTAGCAATAGGCTACTATTTACTGTTCTTGGTGGGAGTGAGTTCTGAAATGTGTGTATAGCTTTGCAGTCCAAGTCTCTTAACAACTATTAATAAAAACATGTATGTGTGTTTAATACTTACTGATATAACTCTAACTCTGCTTTTATGTTAAGGAAATAGCCAGCAAGAGTTGTATAATGCTTGTGGAGTGACTCCTTTACAGCATGATGTTTTCTGTTGATAGCATCACATATTAACGAACATTCTCAAACAAACAAAAAAGGTACTAAAATAGTTTTTAAAATAACAACATAATTCTCACTTCACAGGAGAAGCAGGTTTGTTTGTTTGGTGCAGAATCTATGATGAATCATAGGAAACTACGCCCTGGGTGTCCAGCTCACGTGAAGAGATAAAGACACATATTGTCCCTAGGTTTTCATGGCAGGGTTTCGGTGCTACACAAATACACAGCACTGGAAAGTTAACTTGCAGGTGAACCTACTTCTGAATGGCATTCTGGTTCTCTACTCTTGCCCCAACCCCCAGTCCACCTTTCTTCTGTCTTGCTGCCCTTGGCAGGACTTTTGGATCCTTGAACTATGTAGCTGAGTAAGTCTAGAATCCTAAGGGTGTCTCGGAGCGATTTTGGACATAATTCAGCGGAACTGAAAGTGCAAAGGCACTTGCTGTCTGAAGTGTCCAGAACTGATCTTCACCATCTCCTCTTGCTTGTCCTTAAGCTCTGGCCGTGGAGACAATTTCGAACAATTTCAGTTTTAAATAATATGAGCAAGCATGCCACTTGAATAAAAAATACATTTATTTCATGGTTTTTTTCCTTTTTATTTTTCAAATCTTACCACCTACCTACATATCTGAAAGAGTGCATATCACACTGCTTGTAGAAAAGGAATATTAATATCTGGATGGTGGAAATTATGTGGAAAGATATAATGAGCTAAAGATGACCCAAGAAGACAATACAATGTTATTTAAATCTATAGTTTTTCTGTATTTTACATTGACTCCTCTTTTTGACTTTTTAAAAATAATATATAGGATTATGCCAAAAGTTTCTGATCTTGGGGCGTTCTGGGCAAAGATACTGGAGTAAGAATACAATGTTATTTAAATTTATAGTTTTTCTGTATTTTACATTGACTCTTTTTCACTTTTTAAAAGTAATATATAGGATTATGCCATGAGTTGCTTTTAATAGCTAATTTTTACAATATTCAAGGTGCAGATATTGCATAATACTCTTAACTTATACTCTGCTGCTTAGCGTATCCCTCCCATAAGTTCTAGTCTAACCTTGACTCTAAACTAGGGGATATTGTACATGTTCTTTATTCTCTTTCTGTTTCTGGGCAGCACTGTTCTGTGGAGAAGAGAGAAAGTGATTTTTTTTTTCTTGGACATTTGATTTTAGACAAAAATATATCCCTGTCTCTCTTCTTGGAATGTCTGGTTGCCAAGGGCAGGAAATGCATTCAGGTGTCTGACTCCAGGATTTGCAGAGAGAAAGGGTGAGCATTCAGTGCACATCGCAGGACCTCTGCAGCTATCTTCTTCTTCACGTGAAGAGGGTCACCCTTTAGGGAATTTATGGAGGCCCTCATTCCCCCTTCTCATTCCGCCAGCCAGGTATTCTTTGCAGTTATTGTGAACATGGGTCCTTCCACACTCAGAAAGCTATAGCCACCTGTGCTGCCCCAGAATCTCACTGCACAGGCAACACATGCTTGTTGTACGAGCTGCCAAAAACTTCAAATAAAATTAGGAAAGGGCGAATATTGCCCTTGCTCTAGGTGGCCTGGCTTGCTTAAAATGAGGAGTTGAGTAATCTGTGTGGGTCGGTGCTCAGCATGCATTCTCTGCCTTTGGTGGGATGAACATGACCATGCCCTTTATTTTCAGGTAAGTCCCACTGGTCTCACTGGAATGTGGTTCAAACTAAATGTGTATAAGACTGAAATTGAAATAATGTTAGTAGATATAGTAAGTATACAATAGGTAAGAATGAGCAATGTTCTAAAATGCTACTGCCAAAGAAGTAGGAATACTCTTAACTGAATCAGTGGAATGGAGGAGCTGATTCACCAGACCCCTGTTGATTCGTTGGGGCCAGTCTAGTGCAGTTTACTATGCTAAACAATAGGATTTTTGACCCGTATCTTTTTGATTTGAGGGTTTGTTTCTAAGCAAAGGGATCAGCAAAAAAGCTGCCATTTTGTTTATTAATTCAGTGCAAGAGTATAATATATTCTATTATTGCTACAAACTATAGGAACTCCATGTGACAACCCCAGACCTACCGGGATATCTGCTACAAACTATAGGAACGCCATTGTTTTAGATGCTTATGAAACACAAAAACATACTATTTGAGAAAACTGAAACTTTACCACAGAGGACGGAGAGATATGATGTCCAGTGTGGGTTTCCTCTTTCTTTCTTTCTTTCTTTCTTTCTTTCTTTCTTTCTTTCTTTCTTTCTTTCTTTCTTTCTTTCTTTCTTTCTTTCTTTCTTTCTTTCTTTCTTTCTTTCTTTCCC